AATAATTAATAAAGTTTAGATTTATGAAAGAAAAAAAAAAAAAAAAAAAAAAAGAAGAAGAAGAAGAAGAAGAAAGGGCTATCTTAATTCTTAAATGAGTATAAATCTTCCATGTCTATTTATAAATTTGTTATTATTCACTCAGCTTTTGTGTCTACTGACTACTGGTTAGGTGTCCGATAAGGCGATAACAAAGTATAGTATAAAATAATCTCCATAAACAAATAATTCAAATATTCAATAGTGCACCATAAATATTGATTTATCTAATAATTATATTTTTCTTTTTCCTAAAGGGAGTGATGGTTGTCTTCATGCCTTGGCAACCTAATTCCACTTTTCTCAACCACAATTACTTTTTTAAATATTATTCCCACCGGACTCCAACCATTTCTATTAACCAAAATGCATAATTTTTTGCATTCAAATAATTAAGAATTAAAGAGTCTGTATTAAAATACTTTATTGCCATTAAGTTGCCATTATTTTAAATGTCAATATGGACAATCAGAGGAAAATTAAAAGGAATCAAAGCTTAAAAACCGAAAACCATTATTCATTTTCATATCACCCACTGGAAACCAAATTAATCCCATCTTTTTTCTGAAACAAAAAATCTGCCTTTTTTCTTAAAAATCTGGTTAATCTTCAATAGTTCTCTTTCTCCGCCTTTCTTTTTCTCTGCCCCTGCACAATCATTGCTGATTGAAATACTTTAGCCCGACAACAAAAAAAGAAAAAAAAAAATCAACACTCCAAATTTTATCTCCTTTGATCTCGCAGTGTTTTCTTAGCTCTGTCGAATTACATCTTGTACAAGTTACAAAATCGAATCTTGTTAACTTCTTGCTGCTGGGTTTTGGGTTTTCAGTCTCTTCCCAAAAAATAGCGAGAAAGAATAGGAAAAAATGGGATTTTGAAGAAAAAAAAAAGCTGTCTTTTTTTATGTTCTTTTTATAGAGTTTTGAACTAATGGAAGGTGCTGATAATAGCTTAAACAGCGGTGGAGTAAGAGTGGTGGGTTCAGATTCTCCCTCCGAGTACCACGTGGCACCTCGCACCACCAGCGAAAACCCACCTCAGGCAACTGGATCGTCGCCACCTGCAGCTGCGACGGTAGCTCCGGCACCAGTTTCCGCCGCGCATCCGCCGGGCCCTGCCGACGCTGCCGGCGGAGTTGGAATTGGAGCCGCGTCCATCTCGAAGAAGAAAAGGGGCAGGCCTAGGAAGTACGGCCCCGACGGCTCGGTGGCTGCTAAAGCCCTCTCACCTAAGCCGATTTCATCCTCGGCCCCGCCGCCGGTGATCGACTTCTCCGCCGTCGGGAAACGAGGGAAGGTCCGGCCTGTCACCTTGCCCGCTAAAGTGCCGGAGCCTCTCAGAGTGGAGTATGACGGTTTGGGTATGCGAAATGGTAAATTATTCTGCGTGTTCGTTTTTTTTTTTTTATTATTTTTTTATGTGCTTTAGTTTGTTAGAAGCTGTGCTTGCATGCATGTTGATGAAGGTTGTGTTTTTTCATGTGGGGATCTTTGAATTTTATTGTGAACTTGAGGCGTGAATTTTTGGAGTTTCCGAGTTTAGAGTGAAGAAAGTGGGACCTATGAATAGATGTGTCCAATTGAAGATCTTGTTTGCAAATGGGCAGTTTTTGAGAATGAGGTGGGTTTCTTTGGAGTTGGTGTGGGCAAAAGGCAAACATTGAATTTTTGTGGACTTTGATGGGGACCTCTGTTACTTTGGGACAGAGTGTATTGTATGAGGGGCATGTGTACACCAATAGACGATGATGTCATGACGGTTTGTTCATACTAGAACATGAAGTGAAACAATATTTTGGATTTGTTCTGGGTTTGGCAAGGGGATTCACCTTGAACTAGTCGGTTATTTTGCTCGTTAGTAGTGGTTTTGTTGTCTTGGTAATTTGCGTTTTATTAGTGGCTTTATTACTCATTTGCTTTCTTTCCAGTTATTTTTACATGGGACAGCATTGATTTACAATGCACATCTTTTAGTAACTCCCAAAGTCTCAGTATTCCTGATACTTCAGATATTTGGGAACATGTAATTGTATAATGCTATGAAAAATATTTAGCATTCCTTTGATTGCAGGTGTCAAACGTTTCTTAGCATTTAAACTAACACCCAAGTCTTAAGATAAAAATCAATTGTCTGTTGTTTTACAATGAAGTATCAGAGTTATGTTCAGTTGTTTCTTTCCCTGTTGAAAGAAGTTGAGCAAATAATTTCTTAAAATGCTCTTTATTTATTTCAAATTCTTGATCATTGTAGCTTATCTTACTAGCATGAATATTTCTTGAAATTCAACAAAAGATTCATAATATGCAATTTGTTTGTTTGTTCTATTGGCCTTTAGCATGTAAATATGTTCTTCATGGGCTATTCATTTAATTTATGTTCGGTCTTTATGATAACAGTTGGTCTGATGCATGGAAGATGGAAGTTATGCTTAATTCATTTCTCTGTTGGATATGTTTTTTCTGAATTATTTCCAGCACATATATCGTAAATTCCCTGCTGTGATCTTGTTACTTGTATGTTCGTATTGGATTCAGATACAAGTTTTTCCTTCATGCGATATATTTTGATTATTGATATTCTGTTTGCAGGGGAGTGGGTTTCATGTTCTGTTGGTGCTAATTTTACTCCGCATATAATCACTGTCAATACTGGAGAGGTAAGATGTTGATAATTTTTCCTTTTTCAAGTTAATCCTCTAGCAACCTCTAATTAGACTATATGCTTTATATTCTTCACTCCTTACGCTAACACATAATTCGATGTGCGTTATCATTTTTTGTTACCTCCATTTTTCATAATTCGACGTACAAAAGATGAAGTTTGGTGTAAATGGAAAAATAATCCAGTTGTTCTATCACATTTTGTTACTAGATGAAGTAGGAACTCAGAAGTTGGCAAACTAATATTCTGCATTTTTGGGTGTTCTTTAGGACGTCACAATGAAAATTATATCATTCTCTCAACAAGGACCTCGAGCAATATGCATTCTCTCAGCCAATGGTGTAATTTCGAGCGTCACTCTTCGTCAAGCTGATTCTTCTGGTGGCACATTGACATATGAGGTGATTCATATAAGTTCTCTAATATTGATATAATAAAATATGAGGTGATACTATTATGTTGACCTTGTCTATGTTTGAGTTGACTTTTTAGGGTCGGTTCGAGATATTGTCGTTGACCGGGTCATTTATGCCCTCCGAGACTAGAGGGATTAGAAATCGGTCGGGTGGAATGAGCGTGTCTTTGGCGAGTCCCGATGGCCGTGTTGTTGGCGGTGGAGTCGCAGGCTTGTTAGTTGCTGCCAGTCCAGTCCAGGTTGTTATTATTATTATTATTATTATTATTATTATTATTATTGTTTATTATTATTAGTAAATGTGTGTTATTTTGAAGTAGGTCGTGGTGGGAAGTTTTCTAGCGGGCAGCCAGCTCGAGCAGAAGACCAAAAAACACAAACCCGAGTCTGTGACCATAATATCAGCTGGCTCTATACCCTTAGTCAATAATGTGGGGATGGAAGATACATACAATAATTCCCCTTCTTTCCGTGGAGATAGTTGGTCTTCATTACCTCCCGACTCTAGGACTAAGCCCACCGACATCAATGTCACCTTAGCTGAATAATTTGAAAGTAGTCGATTTTCTGCTCGTGATTGTGATTGACGGACCAGATAAGAGAAATTCATGGATATATCACCGTGTCAGTATGTATTTGATGAATCTTGGTCTTCTTTTGATTGCATTTTTTCTTGATTGTGTAGTGATTCTCTAGCGTGTTAGGATTGGCTTTTTCTTTACTCGTCGAGCATTGTGTTGTAGGATGATTTTTTAGATGTTCATTTAAGTACTCGGGATTAAAATGCAATCGTCCTTTGTCATATGCGTTTTAGTGTTGCTTTAGAGTTGTTCGAGCTATGGTTTGTTGGCCCTTGGATCCTCTTATGTATCGATTTTCGATGTGTAATTTTGGTTGGCGATCGAGCATTGGTTAATGTTAAGACGCGTTTTACAGATGATTATCAGTGTTGTTCTTTGCCAAGAAAGGTGTTTAAGGGGTGATTTGCAGGTATAATTGTTGTGATTTTTGTCCAGCATCTATGATTTTGGAAATTGTGAATGTTTGAATTTGATGGACAAAAAATGTATGAAAGAAAAATAAGAAAGAATTAATAAACAAATATAGTTTTGGCCCTATTAATATAAATAATTATATGAAAAAAGAAGACAAAATGGCAAGTTTTTTCCTAGATAATGTAATACTAAAATGCACATGAAAATGAACCTTGGATCAAACACTCACTTTCACATTTTCACAAGGTTGTGTGTTGATTTGATAGTAAAAATTTATTTAGGTCATACACTCATTTATCCACACTCTCGTGTATGTATGTTAATCTAAAGGTAAAAACTATAGCCATATGTGCCTTGATTTAATGGTAAAAAACTATTTCACACTCACGTGTATGTGTTAGTTTAATGGTAAAAATTATATCTACATATGCGTGTTGATTTGTTGGTAAAAAATTATGCTTGTGTGTTAATCTAGTGGTAAAAATTATACCCAAATGCTCATGTGCTAATTTGATGGTAAAAACTTCAGAGTGATGATAAAACTATACCCGCGTGTGTTATTAATTGGATTGCAAAACTTGTTGTGTATGTGTGGATCTCATGCTAAAATAAATACACTTGCTTATGGACACACATACGAATTTTCCTGTCAGCATACAAGATGAAATCTATATATATATATAATTGTAGGTAAATTGTTAATAAAACTATAAATGTCATTTCGTTTTCCTGCATTTTTTTATTACACATATAATAATTATACATTTCTTTTAATCATCAACGAAATTGTAACATTCATTTCTATCTACAATCATCTTTTGTTTTTCTTTTGGAAATTTAGATTTTTGACACGATTTCAGCACATTTTCAGTTACAATAATTGTTGAACCCTTGACATTTACCTCAATATTTTCCAGTTACACATGATTGCATCACATTTTTTATCACATAAATAATAATAATAATAATAATAATAATAATAATAATAATAGTTTCTAGTCAATCAGTTAGTCACGATCTTTCGAACTAAAAAAATTATATTAGTAATTACAATTTCAGTCATACATATAGTGATACATATGTAAGTTATGAAATTTATATTTATATGGTTCATATGTTTTAATTAGTAAAATTTTAAAATGTGATAATTCATTATTGAAATTGTAAATTTTATATATTATATGCATACATATAATGTATCACAAGTACACCACGTGTGATTACACGAGTTCTAGTTAAAAATTTATATATGAAATTCTTTAAATAAAATGTATGATAAAAGTTTTTTATTTAAAAAATTTACTTTAATATTTATATTTAAAATCAGATTTTTCACCTATACGATTTGCTCGACTTATATTATAATAATTATTTTAATTATTATGTAATGAATTTATGTATGATTTTTTTGAAATGATGATTTAGAGTTTTATTAATTTTTAGTTAGTATTAACAAGATGATTTAATTTTATAAAAAATAAATTTATTTTATATATGCAACCAAAAATCGACACGATTGGACCATTCTGTATAGAAACTTCTAGTCACTAGACTACTAGTCCGTTTTGAAACGGGAGAAACGTGAATACTGTTATAAAACTAGAGAGAATTGAAACTATAGAGAATAGAGAAACTGTATTCGTTTCGGTATATTTTTCATTACAACTGAAGTCCCTATTTATAGGAAAACTTCTGATGGTACAATCGTAATAATACAATTACATCAGGGACAAAATAGTCATTCACATATATTAAAAAAATCTGCACGCGGTGTGCATGCGCACTTTCACAACACTTCCCCTTGAATGACTATTTTAGTGGAGTATCTACTATTAACTGTGCGTTTATGCTGCCTCGTTAAAAACCTTATCTGGAAAAACCCTGTGGGAAAAAAACCGAGATAAGGAAAAAAGAGTACAGCCGCACATGCTCCCCCTCGAGTTATTGTCTATGCAAATCCCGAAGATGTCTCATTCCAATATTGTGCACATGCTTTCGAAACATTGTGGTTGGAAGTGCTTTCGTAAATAGATCTGCTGCATTATCGCTTGATCGAATGTATTGAACTTTGATTTGTTTGTTTCTTTCAAGCTCCTGAGCATATGAGAAGAACTTTGGCGGGATATGTTTAGTTCTGTCACTCTTAATGTATCCTTCTTTGGTTTGAGCGACACATGCTGCATTGTCTTCGAATATCACCGTCGGGTCAGTATTATTCGATAATCCACTGGCTTGTTGAATATGTTGAGTCATGTTTCTGAGCCAGACGCTTTCCCTAGTCGCTTCATGAAGTGCAATGATCTCAGCATGGTTTGAAGATGTCGCGACTAATGTTTGTTTCTGGGAACGCCAAGAAAATGCAGTTCCACCAATCGTGAAAACGTAGCCAATTTGAGATCTCGCTTTATGGGGGTCTGATAGATATCCTGCATCTGCAAAACCGATTATTTCATGTTTTTTATCATTTGAGTAAAACAATCCCAAATCGATTGTCCCTTGGAGATAACGGAATATGTGCTTGATTCCATTCCAGTGTCTCCTCGTAGGTGACGAGTTATATCTTGCTAACAAGTTGGTAGCAAAAGATATATCTGGTCTGGTGCAATTTGCAAGATACATAAGAGCTCCTATTGCACTCATATATGGTATTTCAGGACCAAGTATTTCTTCATCTTTTTCACAGGGTCGAAATGGATCCTTTTCAACATCTAATGTTCGATTGACCATTGGGGTACAAAGGGGATTAGCCTTGTCCATATTGAATCGTTTCAATATTCTTTTAGTGTAATTAGGTTGATGGACAAATATTCCATTTTGGACTCGTTCTATTTGCAAGCCGAGACAATATTTGGTTTGTCCGAGATCTTTCATTTCAAATTCGCCTTTCAGTAATGTGACTACTTCTTGGATTTCATTTGGAGTCCCAATAATATTAAGATCATCGACATATACAGCAATTATCACAACTCCATCTTGTGATCTTTTTATAAAGACACACGGGCATATTTGATTATTTATGTATCCTCGTTTTAGTAATTGTTCACTCAAACAAGTATACCACATACGCCCGGATTGTTTCAAGCCATACAATGATCTTTTCAATTTTATCGCACATAACTCTTTAGGTTTGGACTTTAGTGTTTCGGGTACTTTAATCCCTTCTGGAATTTTCATGTAAATGTCAGCGTCCAGTGATCCATATAAGTAAGCAGTCACAACATCCATGAGACGCATCTCAAGGTTTTCATGGATGGCTAAACTGATTAAGTATCTGAAGGTAATTGCATCCATAACAGGGAATAAGTTTCATCATAATCGATCCCAGGCCTCTGGGAGAATCCCTGTGCTACAAGGCGAGCTTTATATCTTGTGATCTCATTTTTCTCGTTTCTTTTTCTGACAAAAACCCATCTGTATCCAATAGGTTTTATGTCTTTTGGTATAATGGTAATAGGTCCAAAAACCTTCCGTTTATTAAGTGAATCTAACTCGGCTTGAATAGCACCTTTCCACTTGTCCCAATCATGTCTTTTCTGACATTTAATCATAGATTTTGGTTCAGGATCTTCAACCTCTTTGTCAATTTCTTGTGATACCATATATGCGAATGCATCATCAATATTTATGACCTCATCACGCTTCCAAAGATCCCCATTGTTTGCGTAATTGATGGACATTTCAATATTTTCATTTCGTCCCGAAATTTTTCCATCATCTGGATTCGTTTTCAAACTCGAGTCATGAAATTCT